TTGACTTTAAGTGTCCAAGACGGCCCCTTACCTTCACCTTCCCAGCCGACCCGCTTCTTTACTCTTACCCGTGCAGGAAGTCCTGGAGGGAACACCGACTTCCTGAGGTGTATGAGGAGCCTTTGTGAAGTAGAGGTAAGGGAGTCTCCAAACCCACTTAAACTAGATAGAGGGCCCAAACCCCATTATACGTGTGCCTATATGTACATTCCAAAAGAGTACGTGGAGCTTATATGGGAGAACGTTACGGATAAGTCTCCGTCACCTTACAACTGTTACTCTAAGTCACTCAAAAAGATGGGGGGCTCGAAGCGACTTCAAGGGGGTCAGAAGGTCCAATAAATCCACTTTCCTGATCTTCTATTTAGTTGAGCAACCAACCGTAACCATAGGCCCATACTCACAGATGCAACATTCGTATCATCAGAGAATCTGCTAGTCAACTTGATCAACCTGGCTGAAGGGAGCACCATTTGAAGTCGGTAGAATGTCCCTCATATTCTCCCATACCAATCCCCTATTCAATTTTCCGGAGGTGGGTATAAGTGGAGGTTGGCTGGCGGGGTCGGTGAGGATTTGCGTAGTCGAATTGATTTCGCGGTCGCTCATTTACATGAGAATCAACAGTACGCCTCGTCTAGGACAATAGAACGTGCCGCGCCGACGTCGATATCGTGGTCGTTCATGAATCATGACTGTGATTGGCTTAGGAACTTAGGCAAGTACGCAAATACGGACTGTGCACACAAACACACGGACAAACGATCACTTCTTCGAATCATGGAATAAATGCGATCAGATTGCACCCCAACAGTGATCGGGTATCATTATGACATATTTCTTTGCCGCCCACATCAGAAAAAGGTGCCAGGAATTGCATCTGACAAATTAACGAGTTCTTCTGTGGTCTCATTCGCTTAATATTACAGTATACAAGTTCTTGGAATGACCTTCAATTAATTTCTCGAAACGATGGAACTATGCTAATGGTGATGAAAATATTTCCGAAAATGAAATAACAATCTCAGGCCATAAATGGCTTCTTTGACTACGGTAGTAACGCTACACGTACCTCATCATCTCGGCTCAACAGTTCTCGAATGATCTTCTGTGGTGGTCCGCCAGGTTGTTCGAGTACCGGCTTTGAAGGGTCCACATCACCAGAACCAACCAGTTCGGCGATTTTGCTCATACGCGACTGATGGGCGACCGATCTGCAGTGATGGACTTGATTTGATAAAGTAGTCAGATGATAAGCTAATTAGTTAATTGATTATTAATTAGGGACACCGTAATGAGTCGAAGTTCGGCTACTCTCTCGAAAACTCATCCTTTAAGTCGACCAACACTAATGGGACTGCATATTTGTTCAAATTTCAAGTCGTAGAAAACCAATAAATAAGGATTCATTGCAATTCCGTAGCCGCTGCGCGACCGCACGCATCTCATAGGGGTTCTACTGCCCATGGAATGAACCGGTCGACGTACAGTGTCATATAATTTTTGAAAAGAAATTTCTATTGACACTTACGTTATTATTCAAAGCCCCAATAAGGGAAGGACGAATTCTTTTCATAAAGCGTTAGGGAATATGAGCGATTAGCATCTTATTCATTTCTTTCAGAAAAATTTGCATAGTAGAAACTTTGCGGACAATACATTGAGAGAAAATTATCCATTTTTTTCCAATAACACATATGAGAGATACAAAAAAAAACAAATTTTTTGAATGTGTTTATCTTTACTTCTGGATCAGAACTCAGACCCTACACGCCGAACGTGAGATTTCTTGGCTTCTGAACTTGATGATCCTCAGCCTCAACAAGTCACACCTAGTGAACCTCCAAATACGGTTTCCCACCGCATTTTCTGAACCACTTAGCAAATTATACGAGAATCTTAGAGTGGGCGATAATAGAAATGAAATTAGCCCCCAGTTGTCCTTGAAGGAACCAGCCGGCGGTTGCCGGCATCAGGGACGGCGACGGCAAAGGCACGAGCCATAGCGACCAGGTTCGGGATGATTCAGGTCTATCACGAAGAAAAAAATCACTTCATCGGATACCCCATGCTGGGATGTGATTTACGACTTAAATTAGCAATTTATGCTTCGCACGGATTGAAAAAGAAACATTAACAAATCCTTCCAAAGCTTTCAAACCGTTCACATTTGTAATTAATATGGGGCATTACTCTAAGTGGCGTTATGCTTTTGGACTGGAAACCTTTAGTCGTTCCATAAAACTCTCAAAAGTAGGGGGATGGAGGATTAGCAAGGTAAACTTGCAAGACTTCGATTGGTCGATTTCCCAAATTCCCTCTTACCACCTAGGGACAACTCGTCCAATTAACAGGAGGAACACAATATTTCTGAAGAACATCTACTGTTATTTAAACTCAGTGGAATCTCAAGAAATAACGTTCATCCCCCTCCCCCTATACTCGAGAAGTCGTTAGATGGCTTTTTTGATTTTTTAAAATTTTCCTCCAATGATCAATATTATCAATTTATCAAATTTTCCAAATATCCACGAACTTTTCCCTATACGGCTCACCAAAACTACAAAAATGATCGTAATGGACACAATTGGAGGCTTTTTCAAAAACTGCTCAAAGAAAATGCTATAAAAAATAAAAAATGGTGGAGGTCCATCGATTGATAATTTCTTGTTTATTGATGTTGTTGATGGTTGTTCATGGATCACACTCTTGCTTATACGATGCAAAAAGATAATCTTAGGAAACATTCCAGAGTAGTAGTGATATGGGTGGAAGAATCCAAGCCACGGGAGAAGCTCTGGTGAATCGAGTTCAAGGAAAGCCTTATAGGGATTCAGATTTTCACTATTTTTGCTACTTTTACTATCTTGGACTTTCGAAAAACCTCGATCTAGTATCTGGACTTTACAAATATATTTCAAGTGTCCAAGC